TGTCATTGTCATTGTTATTATTATTGTTRTTGTTATTGTTTCAGCCAAACCTCCTGTTCATTACCATTACCATTATCACAACGCCTCTCAAGGTACGTACCCTTAAAATGATCAAATTGATTGTTTTTTATTATAAATATTATCAATGCACACCTACAAAAATGTTGTTGATATAGAAATAGAACACTGAAAACGAACTTATCAAAACTCTACCAACGCTGTAAAAAGTACTTAGTTAGAGTGCAAACTCTAAAAGCAAAAAAAGTACTAACGACCAAACAGTGCTAAATAGCGCAATCAAGCGATTACGCAGTTGCAAACAAAGAAATATTCGCTCAGTTCAAGGAAATTATGCACTATTTATCCGCAAAGTTTTTCATGGTTTTATACTAGTGTTTGCATGCACTCAACCAATGAAAATATTTGCAAGAAAAGTGTATTGAGTGTTTTACCATTTTGAAACAAATTAACCGATTCAACTTTTTGTTGGTTTATCTATTTTATTGGTTGTCTTTGAAAACCGATCATTTCAATTTGATATTTAAAATGCTTGCGATTATAGGTGTAGAGAGAAAAGAGGAAAAACATTAGATTGATCGCACTTTTAAAAACAGTGCAACTGTATAAACTAAATAGTGTAAAATGAATAATGTCAAACAAAGGAACTTGCACAATCAAGTAGAACTTAGCACTATTTTAGCATCTAACTATCTCTCATGAGTGTTTGCGCTCAAAGGCGTGCAAAGTGCTAGAGTGAGGTTTTAAACTTTAAAAAAAGCTTACTGTTAGCCAAATAGGGACAGAGAAAATAAAATGATGAATGACACATTTTAAGGTCAACACACACCGCAAGCGCAAGCACAAGTGTTGCCTTCAGTGACGGTGCCCCAAGCAGCCACACAACCAGGTAACTTCACCACTTGAAGGTGTAACAGGTGCAAATGAATAGCTGTTTTCCTTTCCTTTCTTTTCCTTTTCCTTTCCTTTCCTTTTCCTTTTCCTTTCCTTTTCCTTTTCCTTTTCCTTTCCTTTTCCTTTTCCTTTTCCTTTCCTTTTCCTTTTCCTTTCCTTTTCCTTTCCTTTTCCTTTTCCTTTCCTTTCCTTTCCTTTTCCTTTTCCTTTCCTTTTCCTTTCCTTTTCCTTTCCTTTTCCTTTCCTTTCCTTTTCCTTTCCTTTTCCTTTTCCTTTCCTTTTCCTTTCCTTTCCTTTTCCTTTCCTTTTCCTTTTCCTTTCCTTTTCCTTTCCTTTCCTTTTCCTTTCCTTTTCCTTTTCCTTT